GTGGGTGTGGGTGGGTGTGGGGTGTGTGTGGGTGTGGGTGTGGCTGTGGCTGTGGATGTGGATGTGGGTGTGGGTGTGGGTGTTCTCTTCATCAACACCCACACCCACACCCACACCTACCCACACCCATACCCCACACCCCCACCCACACCCACACCCCACACCCACACCCACACCCACACCCTATTTATATTTAGTATTTTTCTTATTAATATGAAGTTAAAGTGTTGTTTAACTAAGAGTATAATGTTCTCTACAGATCTCTCTTTTTAATTACAGGCATTAGTATCCGTCAGTATAAATTGGTAATCATATAAAATTTTAATAAAAACCAAAATTAAATATTTTTTTTTAATAATTTTTTCTATATATTCGAAAAAATAATATATACATTTTTAAAGTGAAATATTAGCTGTAAATATATACTTCTGATGAAAAGGATGTGCATGTGGGTTTGGGTGTCGGGTGTGGAAGTATGAATGAGAACTCTAACACCCACACTCACACTCACCCTCAATCTGAACCTTGTCTTATGTTGTCAAAATAAGAACATGCTCACAAAATACAATGAAACAAATCTAAAATGGATTTTTTTCAGCATCATGCATAAAAAAATATGAGCACGTGAGTCAGTATTTTCTTTTCTTCAAAACTATTACTTTCATCCGTGCACCCACTACTTTTTAGTCGTCATTTGGATGAAGTATGATAAGAGCTGCACCTTTTTTTTTATGATACTTTCGTTCTTTTTATGATGATTTTAGGTATCAAGATAACTACTCTCTCATTTATTGCGATAAGTCAACAATACCTGTAAAGTCTGCATATCTATCTAGCTAGCTGTCGAAAAGTCTAATACACATCAAAATATTGTTGTTGAGGCATTTTGAGTTTCCATGAAAATTAGTCAAGTCCAAATTACCAGAAACTTGGCTTCTTAGTAAGTAAATATACAGATGTTCTACTATCACATATGTTCTGAATTTTTTCTATCTATTATTAAAAATGCCATAAGTTATTAGTCTAAAGTAGTGATGTAATCAACAAGTTGTCAAGAAAGCTGAGCAACTCCATTGAGAATTTTCGCTCCATACTATATAGTTTCCAATCTAAAACATGTTTGATTTTTTATTCACAATCCATTGAGTAAAAAATACTGTCTTGTCAATCCTCTTCGTTCTTTTAGATAATATACAAAAGCATCTTTCCATCTTGTCGAACTACACATCTTCCGCAGCCTTTTCAGAACTTTTTTTAAAAAATGTAGCCTTTCATGAAACGTTTCTTGCAGAATATACTCGATCATCCTGATCCATCCGTCTATATTAATGTCCAAATTCTACCTATCTCATTTCGATCCTGCCTAAATACAATCATTGAGTTCTAGTACTTTCGCTTCTTTAATACTTACGACGTTGGATCGATTTATTAGGGTCAGTAGTTCTAATAGAACGATTTCGTCGTTAGAACGAAACCAGACACTTCATTGTTCGATATGTTTAGGAAGTTGTGTGTAAAAAATTCTATCAAGAAATTTTACTCTTCTCACTGAGTTTTTAGGCTAGGTACGCTCGATAAACAGACTTTCTAAAACAACGGAGAAGTGAGCTACCCTGTCGCGCTTTTCCTATTTATGCTTTATGTCTTCAATTTACTATTAGACTATCAAACAATCAAAAATGGTGAATAGACAAGAAAATAAAGAAAGTATTACTATTGTTTGGTTTGATTCCAATATTCATTTATACAATCATGCAAAAAATATTAATGAACAATTACGTCAAATAAATGATTATAATTTATATTATAGTGAAATTGAATCTTGCATAAACTATATTCAATCGATTGATAAAGAGAAAATTTTCTTGATTACATCGAGTATAAATGCCTCTCAAATATTGTCTCAGATTAATACACTTTCACAAATACATTTCATCTTCATATTCGATTTTGATAAAGAGTAAAGCAATGCATTCATTGTTGACGATTTGAAATTCATTGGTCTCTATACTAAATTAGACAATTTATATTTATCAATTCAAGAACAAATTGAATTTGACGAGAAATTATTTCAAACATTCAGTTTCTTTGATCAACGTGAATATTTAATACAAGATCTATCGAAACAAACATCCGATTTATTGTGGTTTCAACTTTTTAATAATATTATTTTAGAGTTATCACATGATCAATCAGCTAAGAATGAAATGATCAATCTATATCGTCAATATTATCAAGATAATTTAAAAAACTTAAAATTAATTGAGAAATTTGAACATGATTATTGTTCAGACAATGTTATTCAATGGTATTCGAATAGATCATTTCCATATAAAATAATTAAGAAACAATTACAAAAAAAAGACATGAACCAATTGTACACATTGAGGTATTTTATAAGAGATCTTATACAAAATTTTGAATGTCAATATCAAAATAGAATTCATTATGAAAAAGAAAAAAGTCTGATCGTTTATCGAGGAATTAAATTATCAAGAGAACAACTTGAAAAATTCAAAGAATATGAAGGAAAACATATTTCAAGCAATGGATTCTTGGCGGCAACTCGATTTCGATTAAAAGCATTGAATTTTGCTAGAAAATCAGTAAGACAAACAAATTTCATTGCTGCCATTTTAGAAATTGAATGTAATTCTGAAGATTTTAACAAAAATATTATCTTTACTGACATAGATAAATCTAATGAAGTTTCTTATCAAGATGATATTCTCTTCAATTTAAATGTTACATTTAATTTAAACAATATTGAATTTAATGAAAACATCTGGATTATTAAAATGAATATTTCGAATGAAGGAAAAACTATTCTTAAAAAATATATTGAAGATACACGGCATCAGATTGAAAATCTAAATATTGAAATTGTATTCGCACGTCTTATGTTAGACATGGGTCAATGGGATCAATCACAAAAATATTTTGAACGTTTGTTAAACAATCGAAATTCTACAGATCAAGCATGGATAGAACATAGTCTTGGTGAAATTCATCATTTGAAACGAGAATTTATTCTAGCACCTAAATATTATAATCGTGCTTACAATCGAATGATGAATCCGAAACAAATCCGAATCAAAGATTCAGCTCGAATACTTTCCGATATAGGAGAACTTCTCTATTTAGAAGGAAAATTCGAAGAAGCGATAAATTTTCATAAACAAGCGTTAAAAATTCGTAAGGAATACTATTCTTCTAATCATGTACATATAGCAACTAGTCTGCGTAATATTGGTGATGTTCTCCATATGCAAGAGAAACATGATCAAGCATTCGTACAATTTCAAGAAGCATTAACAATCTTGGAGAAATATTATAATTGTTGTCATGTTGATATTGCCAAGTGTCTAGTTTCTATTGGACTCTGTGTTCGTGAGCAAGGAAATCTCGATAAAGCTCTCGGCTTTTATCGACGTTCAATAGCAATCTACGAAAAATATTATCCTTTCGGTCATGTATACATTACATTGGCACTCAACGACATGGCAAATATTCTTTGTCGACAAGATAAATATGATGAAGCTATTGACATTCATCATCGAGCAGTAAAAATGGAAAAGAAACGTTATCCAGTTGATCCTATGATTACTGCTTACAATCTTTGTACTATTGGTAATATTAATTATGGACAAGAAAATTATAATTATGCTTTAGAATTCTATCAGCATTCATTCACAATATTGAAACAATATTTGTTTTATGGTCATATTGAACTTAACTATCTTCTGCATAACATTGGTGATACTCTTTGTAGATTAGGACACCTTGATAATGCCATGAACTTTCATCGACAAGTACTTACTTTGCAAGAGAAGTATTATCCATCATTTCAAGCCGCCATAGCATACACCTTCAATCGCATCGGACACATACTCAGTGATGAAGCAAAATATGAAGAAGCTTTATATTATTATAAACAAGCATTAATGATGCAAAACAACTACTATCCTTTGGGTCATGTGAATATAGCTTTTACATTTCAAAATATAGGTAATGTATTATCTCTACAAGAAAAATATGATGAAGCTTTGGAATCCTATCGACAAGCATTTTCGATACTCGAAAAATACTGTATATATCCTAGTAGTGACATTGCTGATAATTTGATTGGTATCGGTCATATTCTAATTAATCAAGAAAAGTTCGATGAAGCTATGGACTCCTATCAAAGAGCATTAGACATTCTAAAGAGTTATTATCATTCTGATCATCCTAACATTGCTAGTATATTTACCAATATTGGTAATGTATTTCGTCGACAGGAAAAGTTCGATGAAGCCATGAAATATCATAAAAAAGCATTAGAAATTTATGAGAAAAATTATCCTTCAGGACATATCAGAGTTGCTATAACACTTACATATATCGCTTTTGTACTAGAGAATGAAAAAAAGTATGATGAAGCATTGGATTTCTTGCAACAAGTGCATTCATTACTTCTAAGACTTGGAAATTATTATCCTTCAGAACAATTACAAATTGCTCAAAACCTAAGCAATATGAGTGTCATTCTATGTTCACAAGATAAACAAGAACAAGTTCTTGAATATCGACAACGTGAACTATCAATCAGAGAAAAATTCTTACCATCTGATCATCCCGATATTGTCACTAGTTGTATAGAAATGAGTCGTATTTTGTATAATCAAGGTAAATATGCCGATGCTGTTAAATTTCAACAACGAGCTCTAGCAATTCAAGGAAAACGTTATCCATTGAATCGTATGAGAATAGTTGAACAATTGACTGATATTGCTAATATTTTCATCGATCAAGAAAAATACAATGAAGCTCTTGATTTTTATCAACGAACATTATATATTCGAGAAACATTTTATCCAGATGATCATGATGGCATTGTCATTCTTCTTTGTAACATTAGTAATACATTCAGGGCTCTCGATTGTTTTTGAGAGTGGCGGGGGCTAAAGTTTTTTTTTCTTTTGCCAGACAGTTCACAAAAACTTGGCAGACAGTCACTTATTTTTTTAGGGACTTCCCAATTTTTCATTAAAAGTGATGGCGGGGGGGGGGGGGGGGGGGGGGGGCGGCGGGGTAGCGCGACGAAGATACCTCTACCCTCCTCCAGGACTCAGTAAAATCTTCGAGAAAAATTGTGTCACCACAAAAATTTTTCACCGCTCATATTATCACGTGACCAGTCGACTGCAGCCGTAAAATTAAATTTCGCAGACTATATTACACATTTTTGCCAGACAGTATTAAAAATTTTCGCAGACACGCTTAAAAAATGCCGGGGGCTAGCCCCCAGCACATCGTGGGGCCTGAATACATTTAGTCGGCAAAGAAAATATGATGATGCACTCGATTTTCAAAAGCGAGCATTCAAAATACGAGAAGTTCATTATCCATCAAGTCATCCGTACATTCTTTATAATCTCAACAATATTGGTAATATCCTTCGAGACCAAGAGAAGTATAATGAAGCTCTTGAAGATTATCGACAAGTACTTGCTATGTGTCAAGAATTTTATTCATCCAATCATAATGATATTATTGCTTGTCTTAGTAATATTGCTGATGTACTTAATGATCAAGGAAAATACTCTGAAGCACTTGCCTATCGACAACGAATATTAGCGATAAGAGAAGAACATTGTTCATCAAATCATGATCAAATTGCAAGTGATCTTACAAACATCGGTCATCTTCAAATACGTCTAAAAGACTATGATAAAGCTCTCGAAGTCTATCAACAAGCACTCTCTATCAGAGAACAATATTGTTCATCTGATCAAGTTGAAATTGCCAATAGTCTACAAGAGATCAGCTATGTTCTACAAGAACAAACAAAGTATGATGAAGCTCTTGATCTGGAACAAAAAATATTGAAAATCTATGAGACATTGTATCCAGATGGTCATGCTAATACGATTTCGTGTCTTAATCGTATGTCAAATATTTTATGTGAACAAAAACAATACGATAAAGCATTCGAACTTCAACAACAAGCATTAGAAATCAGTGAAAAATGTTCTACATACAGTCATACAAGTATTGGTAGAACTTTCGGTTATATAGGTAACACAATGTATATGCAAGCTAGATATGATGAATCCATTGACTTTTATCAAAAAGCTTTGATACACTACAAAAAGGATTATCCTTCTGATTATGCAGATATGGCCACTGTATTACTTAATATGAGTGCAGTTTTCAAAGCACGATTAGAATACGACGAAGCTCTGGATATGCAACATCAAGCATTAGAGATTCGGAAGGAACATCGACCATTTGATCATTTCATGATTGCCAAAAATTTGATAGAAATAGGTGATGTACACTATCAACAAGAAGAGTATGATGATGCTCTTAATTTTTATCAACAAGCACTATCTATATTTGAAGAATATCATCCTATGCATCATATTGAAATAGCTAATTGTCTACGAGAGATCGCAAATATTTGGAATACAAAGACTGATGTTGATCGTGCTATTGAATATTGCAAAAGATGTCTATGTATTAGAGAATGGAGTTTATCTAAAAATGATCCTATGATTGCTGACACTCTAATCTATATGAGTCAACTTCAAAGAAATGGAAATTACCATGAACTTTCCTTGACATATGAAATGAATGGCTGTTTAATGCGTATGAAAGTTTTACCACCAGATCATGTAGAGATTGGTGATAGTTTTTCTCGAATTGGTCAAAGTTATGAGCATCTCAATAAACCAAAATTAGCACTCGATTATTACAAACAAGCATTAGCTATCTACGAAAAATGTTTACCCTCTTGGCATGAACATCGAATGGATATAGAAGCCAGTGTAGAACGATTGTCAAACTAAACAATGATTTGAGAAAGAAGATGTGCCACGTTACTATTTCAGTGTCTCAAAAAAATCTGAACCTAATTTTATTAACTCTATAATCAGTATTGAATCCTAATTGTTTTTCACAAGTTTATTTTGTATCTCCTCATGATTCGATTTGTGACGCCTGGAGTCGTCCAGGGATCGAAGAAAAATTTTTATCCAGAATCTATTAGAAGTCCATACAGTTGGGTGTGAGGGTGTGGGTGTGGGTACGAAGACAAAATCCTCGTCCACACCCACACCCTTTTGAATCACCCTTTAAGCATATTTTTCAAGAAGAGGTTAACGAAAATCATCGAAAATTTTGGCCAAAAACGCGGTACCGAAGAAAAGCTAATATCGTTTCTGAAAGAGTAGAAGATGAACTATCTTCCCATGCATTTGTTTCAATTTCGAAATTTCTGACGAAAATTGACTTTTTTTGAAAGGAGAAGGCCTTAAACCCCTTCACTGTTCTTGACGAGTATACTCGTCAAAGCAATCTTTCTAGAAAAGATGAAGATTATAATTCTTTAACTCTGGTTTTTTTATATGTTCTGTGTCGATTTTGATATCCTGCACTGACTAGAGCACGCCCTACTGATTCTGATGTTTGTATTATCCTTAAATATCTCTGAATTTATAAAAGTTGTTTTGTAAAAAGTTTACTAGTTAGTTTCAAAAGAAGATTTAACGGTGAAGAGGTTAGTCTCCTATAAAAAAATAGACTATGGTTCTTACAATGTATCAGTAACTGCAGATAATAATACTTGAAAATTTATCAAACAGCTTTTAACAAGTTTGATTTGATAAGATTCGCCTAGTTTTACTTGATGAAAATTCGGTTCTCATACAGTAAGTTCCAGTGCTCCAGTCTTATCACCAACTACAACTATCTTTTTTAATTTTTCTACCTTTTTAAAATCAGATTCTTCAAAAATAAATGATACTTTCGGTCCAATTTCACAAAATTTGACTTCAATGGTACATAATCCATCAATTGCATTGTTTCTTAAATTTTCAATAGATTGTATTCGAACACATGTTGGTCGAAAATCTAAATCTTTATCGATCAAATTTGTCGGAGGAGTACAGAAGTATTGATCATTTTGTTCACGTAAGTTAACTATACATGCACCATAATCAGTTAACATTGATTTTCGTAAGCGAGGGTGTGGGTGTGCGCGTGGATATGAAGAGAAAACTCACACCCACATCCACCCTTTCTATTTTCATTGGAAAATAATGAGTTCTAGCTGTCTAGGATGACTAGAAGGTCGATATTTCGTTGAAAATTAATATTTGTTGAATGTAGAAAAATGATCTCATCACATCTCTTTCCAAGGTTTAGTGAATTCAAATAATGAGGAAAAAAATAACTACTTCAGATATTTGCATTACTCTCATCTCTCATCAGATTCAATGATATCTGATAGAATTTCATTATTAATACTATAAAATTAATTTTCTTATTACGCATTGTTTAAGAATTTATCCAACAAACCAGATTTTGTTAAAGAGTATGATATAAATTCTATCAAAACTAGAAGATAAAAACTTAACATTTTAACAAAAAAATGAAAGAAATCTAATTGAACGATTGAATTTTACATCGAACGAAATAACATTTTCATGCTCAGTTTTCGATGCTCATTTTGAATTTGAAGTCTTATTTTTTATTCGGTTGAACACGAAATATATGGTAACCAATTGTGAGTATGAATCGACAGAGGTGTTCATCATCTCCAAGCATTTGTGTTATAAGCTAACCTTTGCTACCAGAATTTTAGTCTATTGAAGTTATACCTTAAATGACACAAAATTCCAAAGGCTTTAAGAAAGTATAAAAAATATTTTGGAACAGCATGATTCAAGGTGATTAGATACAAAATACTAACCTAAGACGTGCAATGAAAAACCCTTCACCTAACGGTTTATTATGTTCATATACCCAAAGAGAGTTTATGAACGTGATCTACCCGCTCATAAGCTTAAAAAAGATACATGAGAATGCAACTAAATGGATATGATGGTTTATTACTCTATGCTTATGTTTTAGTGTTCTGACAATCTAAATATCCCACAATAATAGTGTCGTTGTAAAATGCTGAACGAACTGGTAACACTCGAGAAGAAATAACATAGCGTGCAACTGACTGAATAGTATTGCAGCTCACTCTTATTTCATATTCATTGTCATTACCCTGTTTATTGATCTTCTACGAAGAAAAAAACGATATGTAATAACAATCAGTCGACTATCCGTTTTGTTTTTAACAGATAGAAATGTATTACAGAGGATTAAAGATCGTTATGAGATGTTTTCTTCACATTATCTGTGAGTATCTATCCGTGTGTGAGTGAGAGTTAGGTACATTTATAAGACTACGCATATTCTCCAATCATGCACAGAAAGAATAATCGCCAAAGTGATAAAATACACCTCTCAGGAAGGTATCAAAGTGCGTTCATCTGTCTTTTTTCCTCACAGCACTTTCTTTATTAATCCGATTGATATCAACACGAGGCACTTCATCTTCCCTACACCAATTGAAAGGATGCATTCATTCACTCTTATCGCTTTTCTTATTCTGGGCTTGTTTTGTGTCGCTTCACTTCAGACAACAGAAGTTCGTGATGGTGAGTAACTATTGTTAAATCTGTCTCGAAAACTGTTTGAATACTTGTTAGATGAATGTCCAAGGCTACCCGCTCACATTCATTGCCTTCGACGCTTTGTGTGTTTGCCTTCAATGACGGAAATCAAGTGCCATGGAGATAGTGAATGTCGACCTCAAGAAAAATGTTGTCATATTCCTTATTCATGTACGACTCGTTGTGTTGAAGTTCCGCAAAGTTGAACTGTTTTCACACGAATTAATGGGACAGAATAATATGTTTGACATGAAGGAAATATAATAAATAAAGGGTGGCAGATTTCAGCCAGTTAAATGAAGAAAACATAATAGCATGAATAAACAGTTCGAGTTTATCTCAGGATTTTTGCTGATAACTTCACTAGTCGAAAATCCGATCTCTACTAATCATCCTGGTAGCTTCTTTTCTGTACACTATTCTGAATGTTGCTTCTTTCTAAAAACCGATCAAAGATGAACAACAATACAATGTAGTATGAAAATTTTCATAATTTTCATCGGATCAAAATAGTCTATTTCATGGCGCAGTCTTTTCAGTAGTTTTCAATTCAAATATCGAACTTCTTGAATTTATCATCTTTTGGATTCGATTACTAAATGAATTTAAGTACCATGTACTATGAGCTTTTAAGATTACTGAACAATATCATAATTCCTAAAATCTCAAAATAATACACTGAACATTTTCCAGACTAGGTAGATGAGGATGAGGACTAAAAAAAAGACATCCATTCCGTCCTCACCCTTCATCTACATTTTTTTTGTAATAAACAGAAAAAATATGGATGACGTAGTCATGTCATCAACAGAAATATTTAACATATTTAATCAAATTTACTATAATCATTATACTCTCAAGTGATAATCGTAAGACTCCACGTTGTTGTCAGGTTGTGGTTATTATGAAGCATTAGACGATGAACGTTTTGAAGCATATCTTGAATGGCATAATCCATAAATGTGATAAATATCTAAAAAAACGAGGAACAAATAAAAACAAAATTCAAATGAATGTGCAATTAATTAATAATAGGATATTAGTAGTTACAATGAAAAAAAATATGAATTAAACTATACATGAGCTCATCAGAAGAGAAGCTCCGAAGAAGAGAAAATATTGAAAACCTAGAGGGTGAGGATGGGTGGGTGAATGGCTTTCCTCACCCACCTTCAAGATAGACTCTCTCAGGCTCTTATATTGTAAAAACAAAAGACACCACTTAATCTGCTAATATTAAGTTTAAGCTTTCTTGTATAATACTTTATTCACTGTAAATAAAGATTAAGTGATTGTGTAAGACAATTTCAAGTTTTTTTCTACTATTGTACGAACTAGGGACGCAAGAATGGCAGGGCATCGTCCACACACCCATCGGATTGGTAGACGAGTGGATGAGAGTGAACAACGACACTCACTCTCACTCCACCATCCACCTTCAAGATAGTACATATGTATGGCTTTGAGAGACACTTGTAGTAGAGTTGCGTGAGCATCTTGTTTACCGTGTTGAAGTCCAAGTATACAGGAACAAGACGTATGTTGGTCAGGATGGCAGTGAATTGACGGTTAAGACAAAAAAAAGCGCTTCGAGCAACTTGCACCATTGGAAATAAGAAAAAACTTCTGATCATTCTTGTATTAAAGCTAATGTACTATAAATTCTATTTAGATCGACTTTCATGGAAAATAGATATCCTCATCCATGGAAGTTGTAATACTTTGTTATCATGTCCATCAAATAAAATTCTTCCTTTCCATGGATCATAGAATTCTTGTACTAAAGCAATGGTTATTGATTTTCCATTACCTGATAGTCCGTATAGTTTCCTCCAGGAAAAAAACTTTTACTACAAAAGCCAAGAGAAAACGTTATTTCCAATATATCATTGGTAAGACTCTTTTTTTGCTGCTTAATGTTGAAATTGCAAAAACTTTTATAGACATGATTGGTTTTTGATTTCTTCTCTTGTTCAGACTACTTCTAGTAAAATATATCTCGTGTAAAATTCGACTGATTCAAAAGTGGATACTATGATCTAACAGAGTTTGACATTTGTGCGAAGATTTTTGCATTGGATCTTATGACTCTTGATCTAATTCGCAATCAATAAAAAAAAGTTTTATTTATTTTCTTTTATTTTAAAGCATTAAAATTACAGAACAAGACTTTTCATTAGTTATTTTTTCTGTATTCATGCAAACTTGTTATCTTCATTCGCAATATAAAGTTCAGCGTGATCACTTTATTTAACTAATACTCGATTACATAACATTACATTTATTTTGTTGAATATATTGATAGTGTTCAGAGCAATGTGGATATCTTCCACCATTTG